TCCTGATCCACAAACTAATATCAAAAATATGCTCGAGATTGTCCCAAGAAGTTACACAAAATTTTGTCTGCTATCGATTAAAGATATACATATGTACATACATACATTGTATGTATGTAGGATCGTATCCGAAAAAAAAGACCGCCGAAAACCTTCAAATCTGAAGGGTTTTTGCAAGGCAATTTCGAAATTTTTTTTCCGAACTGGGGGTCGACTTTTTAAATTTGTTTTCATATCTTCAGCATTTGCTAGTCGTATCTTATAGCCAGTTTCACGAAAGCAAATTTAAGTGAAAAGTTATTATTTATATTTGAATTTAATATGAAAACTGGCAGAAGGAAAAAAAATCCTTTTTTCATTTAAATCGCTGGTGAAACTGGTGGTTAAAGGATGATATATCGATGTTTTTGTCACGAAGAGGCATCTTTTTGTTACAGAGCCCATTGGCCTCATGTGTTACCCACCAGATCTCAGTTCATATTACCCTAATGTCAGTAACTTAAGCTCACCAATAATCATTAAAATTTTGCTAAGAATGTATTTCGATTATTCCAGTAGAACTAATAAAAAAAAGTTGTACTGTAGAATTTATGTAGGTGTTACCGAAAAATTTATAAAAGCGCCTCTAGATTCGTTCAAAAAAGAAGTTAGTATGTACACTAGGGTGGTCATAAAATGCATGTGAAAAAATTAAAGTCTGAATTTTAATGCTCTCACTCCCTAGGACTGTTCTACATCGAAAAAAATACACCCCTGTTGTTTTATTTCGAAATCAAAAAGCGCTCAAAGTTTTCCATGAACTTTATATGGGGGAAAATCAAATGTTCGTCGAAATGGTATTTTTCGATCGGAAGAACCTGTTTCTCTTGCCAATAATAATACCTAACTTTTTATTTTACAACTTCTTAATACTAACAATTTTGTATGGACCCCATTGAACTTTTGGTTTTTTGGGGACCTATAGAAAATAGTTCAAAGCGGTTTTTTCGGTATAGAACAATCCTAGGGGGGTGAGAGCCTTAAAATTCCGACCTTAGTTTTTTTGCACCACCCTAATGCATACTCCTCCATTTCCAGTTTTATACCACAAGGGAAAGAAGAGTGCACAGTAACAACAGGAACAGTGGAAGGATGTACCGTTGGCTCCGCTCATGGCGTCGGAACATTGGGTGTATGTCTTTCAGGATGAGACTTATGCCAATGAACTAAATATGTATATCTACTGAATCGGGTGTCCAACAAACACTAAATTTTAATTTGTTAGAACTCCGCACTCCGGAGAGTAATTGGAACAGAACAAACCTTTATGGACCCCGACTTCTTCTTGTTGTTTGGCGCTGTAACCGCTAGTCGCTTATCTTCTGTGCCAATTGACTCTCGCCGCGGAGAGCATAATTTTGTCTTAAGAAAGCAATAACAGAACATACATGTACATGCTTTTACGACAGTCGGGTCTACATAACCGGAAAGACCCAGCTTTATATCTGGCCGAGAACTGTCACTCCAGCATCATTTATTTCCTCCGAGCTAATGCTGACCTCCCTTAATCTTTTAATACTAATCGCATACAGTAACCATGTTTCCTCATTTTGCTGCAGGGTCACAGTGGTGTCATGGCCAATGAAGTGGCACATATTCTCGCCAGGAATGGGGATGTAAAGGGAGGCATAGGACCTGTTCTGTCGAGAGTTTCCCTTTGGCGAAATTATTATATCTGGATGCTGAAGGCGGCAGGGACACAGTACTAAAGAGATATGGAAAGTAACAGACAAGCTAAATGCTGTATACCGAAAATGTCTACAAGGAGAATCATAAACAAAGGATTTCTTACTGGCCACTGGAAGGTAATGAAACATTTGTATAACTTGGGAGTTGTTGGAAACAGCGAATTCCCAGGCCAGACCTAGGATCATAGTACAGAATAAAAGCTCATCGCTGTTACAAAACACTCTGTGTACGTTCATTTAAAATCCATATATGTATATATTTAAAAAGCTTTCCTGACGCGCACAGAGTAAAAGCTTTATCTGGTAGTCTAATGCCTCACAAGTTGGAAGAAATACGAAAGCTGAACATGAAATTTAAATAATGTGCACTCATTTGAATAGAAAAAGTATTTGGGAGTCATACTAGATCCTAAGCTTACAAATTTGGAATTTTTATAAATGTTCTGCAAATTTGGAAATTCGATTTACATGATTTTGTTTTATATAGTAAGTTAGATTTTCATAAAAAAATAATAAACATTTTTAATTTTTTTCTCTTTGTTTTGTTTTAAATAAAGCTATTATGCATTTTTATTGTAAAAACACAATTGTATGTTCGTATTCGATGCTTTAAAAATGGCCCGATTTTTGTCCACAGAAATCTGGTCACCGTATCTATAAGAAACGTTTCTATTTTACAATACTAATCAAGATTGTCAGAATATATTAAATAATCAAAAAATTAATTGTGACTAAGATAATGCAACGATATACTGTAAATCGATATGGACAATTAGAATGCTTCAATGATTTTAAGGTATGAGAAATGATGTTAGCATGAAAATCTATGTACATTAGGGTGGTAAAAAAAAAAAAAATTTAAGTCCGAATTTTAATGCTCTCACCCCCTAGAATTATTCTAAATCGAAAAAATATACCCAATTTTTTTTTTAATAAAAAAATATTTAGAGGTCGCTCAAAGCGCTCAAAGTTTTCCATGTATTTTATATGGGCAAAAATAACTTTTCAAAGAAATGGTATAGATATCTTAAAAACAATATTTTTCTCTTCAGGATACTTCTAATATTAATACCCAATTCTTTATTTAAAGATTTTTTATTGGTCCCCCCCCATTGCATTTTCTACGGTTTTTGGCGAACCTATAAAGTATAGTTGATATAAAAAATGGTTGAATAAACAATTGGGTATTATTACTGGGAACCAATGCCCGGCATGTGGAGAGTCGCCACATGACTCCCGGCACCTATTCACATGCCCTGAGAACCCCACTCAGCTAACGCCCCTGTCCTATGGACAGCCCCTTTGGAAGTAGCACACTTCCTGGGCCTTCCCCTAGCTGAAATAGACGATAACGTTGATGGATGAACCGCCCCGAACGGGGCTTAGTAGCCGCTACAACAACAACAACAACTGGGAATCTCCTAAAGAGAAATAGAGGTAGGTACCCCATCGAAAATTATTGATTTTCAAGAATTCTATACCATTTCTACGAAAAGTTATTTTTTCCTATATAAAATACATGGACAACTTTTCCACAGCAATTGTAAAATTTATTTAATTTTAAAATTTCCGCCAAATTATTTCGGAGAAATATTACGGATCGTTTCGAAAATACCGGCAAAAATTTCATTATTTTAATTCCGTGAATAAATTTTTTAAACAATATTATGTATGTATACCTTTTAAGCTTTGGCGGAAAGCAGTACCAACTTTTTTATAGATAGTGATGCACCCTAATGCGCATACTTGCGTATGTAAATATAAGGAACTTCATATTGGGCGTCAATAAGTGTTTGCGATATCGCCAATATATCCTTTACTAGCTTTAACTCCAGTCTCGATTTATTTATGTATTTTTCATCAAGGTCATTACAGCATTAATATTAAGTACTATTGAAAACAAAATTTCGTAATTTACTTCTTTGAAAAACGGACATCAAATATTATATTAGTATTGCTTTTTGATATTATAGCAATTCTCTATTTTATCCCTAAAGTTGTTGTTGTTGTTGTAGCGGCTACAACCTATCCCTAATTATCTCTTCTTATATCAAAGTTCGATATTTTATTATGAATGGATAAGTGCCAGGAGCTTCCGGTGAGCAAAAATTTATTTTTTTGCACAAAAGTCAGTTACTAGGTTTTGCAGAACCACGATACGCGGTTTTGTACTTTAAACGGCGATAAGTTTGTTGACTAATGCTAGGTCATTAGGGCATTATGGTTTGCTAGATTGATTTTGGTTTCTTGTAATTGATATTATTAAATTGTTCACACCCAGCTTTTACTAGACAACATTTAAAATAAATCTTATTTTGACTACAATTAAGCACAATGCTAGCATACAAGACGATTTAGGAAACTTTTATGCTTACGCTTAAGCGCTAGTGTGTGTGTTGATATTGCAGTTACACTCAATTTTTTTTTCAGTCAACGTTTCATAATGCTCTCTGTATGTATCAATATCAAATATCTGAGGGGAAGCTTGATGCGCTAACCACTAAACCAAAGTTGGTATCACATCCAAGTTGGCTAGTATAAATTGCTTAGCATCAAGTCGAGATCGTTAGTGGGCACGCTAACCGATTGTAAAGTAGAGTTCTAGAAGAGTAAATTGTACAAAGTGGATTTTTACAATATATTTTGCAAAATTTTGTCTTTTCCGTTTGGTATTAAAATTAACAGCGGAGGTGTTCGCGGCCATAGTGGAGTTCCCAATCAAAAATACAATAAACTAATCAACAAAAATAATACTATTAAATTAGTTGAATTCCATACACTTGAGGATTTAAAATACAAAATGGCTTTTCGCGACAAAAATGCAGTGATTACCGGCGGCGCCAACGGCATTGGCTTGCAAGTGTGCAAGCAACTCTTGGCCAATGAGGCGTCGGTGAGCATGATGGATATAGAATAATCCAAATTCTTGTTGCTTCTTTATACATATTTTTTTTTTTTGTTATAAATATCTAGAAAATTGCTATTATTGATATACAAGAAAATACGGAAGATATCTCTAAGTTACGTGCAGCTCATCCCACACAAACTATAGTGCTGGTAAAAACCGACGTTGCGAATAGGCAGGGCATTGCAGATACCTACGAAGAACTTGGAAAGGCTTTTGGCTCCATTGATATTGTTGTGAATGTTGCTGGCATTTTCAATGATCAGGATGTACAGCGTACCATTTTAGTCAATTTGGTAATTCAAAAATGTTAAATCTTTTTTTATCACAATATTTACGCATTATGCTGTACGCGTTCATAGGGCGGCATCATTAATTCCACACTTGCGGCTCTTAAAGTGATGAGCAAGGAAAATGGTGGGGAAGGAGGTATTGTAGCAAATATGTCTTCTGTTGTTGGTTTGGATCCAATGTTTCTGCTGCCTGTGTATGCTGCTACTAAAGCAGGAATTATAAATTTCACACGATGTTTGGGTGTAAGTGCTTTTATTTTAGACTTTCACTGCATTCATAAGTATTTATTTGCAGACTGATATTTACTTAAATCGCACTGGCATCAAGTTCATCACAATCTGTCCCGGCGCCACTATTACGGACATGTTTACAAATTTTACTGAGAAAATACTCTTTCCCGATATGGGTGATGAATCATATCGAGTGCTGGATCGTCTCAACAAGCAAAGTGCTGCCGATGTATCACGTTGCATACTTAGCGCTTTAGAAAAGGAGAAAAATGGTGAGGTGTACATAATCGAGGGCAAGCGACTGTTTCCAATGGAAATGAAGAGTTACTGGCGTGGTATCGAGAAGGAATTGAGCGATTAGAAAGATTGTAAAGATTCGTTTTGAAACTAGACTATATACATATATTTAGTACATACCAACATGCTTGCTGGAATTAAATTTATTTACATACATGAATCTCTGATCAATTTCTCAAATCTGAAGCTTAGTACGAATTGTTTGTTATTGAATTTTCATGAGGCTAGTAACTAACCTTTTTGAAGAATGCAGAACAAATCGTTGTTTGTTGTTTGCAGTTTAAACAAAACTCAATATGAGGCGTCATATTTTGCCTATTCATTAGTCATCGCGCCAAGTGACTAGCACTTCATCTGTACGAAAGCGTTGCGTTACAAATGATTCCTCGAAAGACATTTGTGTACCAGAACGAAACATTTCAGCGCCTGCATGTGCGATCATCAGACCATTATCGATGCAATAGCGCTCATCCGTAGCAAATAGTTTACCGCCACGTTCTTCACACATGATGCGCATCATTTCTTGTAGGCGCTCATTGCAGCCCACGCCACCCACAATGAGTACCTTTTGTTTTGAATTGGACCATCAATTATTTGTTAACTCTTCTTCGTATAAATTTTAATGAAATACCTACCTCATTAGAACCGCAATGCGCCATTGCACGTTCGGTAATTTCCACCAACATTGCAAATATTGTCTCTTGCAGCGAGTAACAAAGATCCTCGTTACTATATTCTGGTACCACCGCCGCTTCTTCTGCTTTTTTACGTTTATTCCGCCTTTTGCTGGGATCGGCGATCTCTTCAATTTGTGAAAGAATACCCGAAAAGCTCACATCCATACCTATCAAAAATAAGTAATTAATATAAGTAGTTTGGAAGTTAAGGCATCTACACACACCTTTGACGACGTACGGCAGTTTTATAAAAATTTTGCCCTTCTTTGCTAACTGCTCTATATTATAACCCGGACTGGGGTCGTTCGAAAGTTTAATTATGCGCGCAAACCGGTCTAAACAATTGCCCACGGCGATATCTATGGTTTCACCAAAAATGCGATATCGTTTATTAGAGTAAGCAATTACTTGTGTATTGCCGCCACTCACGTAGAGCACAATAGGATTTTGCGCGCTTGTTATTAGACGGCCCATTTCTATGTGACCAATGCAATGGTTAACACCTAAAAGTAGCTTTTCCCACAATAACGAAAGTGTTCGTGCTACAATTGCGCCAATCAATAGTGGCGGCGCCATGCCGGGACCTTTGGTATAGCAAATAACATCTAACTCTTTTGGTTCCAGGCTAGCTTCTTTCATCGCGCTTTTGATAAGTTGGAGAATAACTTCTCTATGGTGCTGTGCTGTTTCTTTTGGCAAGAATCCTAAGAATTTTATAAATTAATAAAAATAATTTATAAATCTTTACTCACAACCTTCGCCTGGTGGTGTCACATAGGTACGGCGCACATTAGCCAACACTTCTCCGTCACGTATTATACCAACACCAATTTTATTTGCACTTCCTTCGATGCCTAGTGCGCACACCATTTTAAGTTTTTACAAAGTTATTGCTTTAGTACTTTTATTATAGTAATCCTATTAATTTAATAGGTTATAAAAAATCGGCAATTGCTTATTTTTGTAAACAAACCGGCCTTTGGCAGCTGTCACTTTGTTCAAACAGCTGTTTGCCTAGATGATAGATAAACTGTGTCGAAAAACAACTTTAAGTTATCTAGCAACATATTCCACAACCGTAATGTTGCAGAGAAATGTTTATAAACTTGTTTAGCTCATTTGATCAGAGAATTTGTATCTCTTAAAAGTTCTCTGATTTAATGCATTTTGGAATGCTTAATATAAGGTTACTGATTCGATTCATTCAAATTCGATTATCCATAGCTATTTTTTTATTGCGATCAATATATGTACATACATACTAAAAATACGATGGATTTTTCATATTACAGATTTCACGCGCCTACACTGTAAACATGTCCACCATGTTGCATACCGTCTTCAAGAGTCACAACTCCAAATTTGGCATTTTTAAAATTATCCGCTAAAAATGTACACAGAGGTTTTATTTACCTTTCAGCAGAAGCTGGAGCAAATTTTTGTTATAATTTGTTAAAAAAAACCTTAGGTAAAGTCGCCCTGCCCATATGATTAGCATCTGCTACGAAATAGTTTTTCGCATTTTCTGTCGAACGATTATTTCGAGTTGTGACTCCTTTGAAGACGGTGTGCGATATGTGTACTTAATATCTAAAAAAAGTATGTATTTGCAATTTAAATTTTTGTATCTAAATAATAATTCAAAATTTATAACATTAATCCTCTTCTGGCTCTTCATCTTCCTCTTGTAGATGTTCAAGCTTTAAGGTACCAGCAGCACGTACCTTATTCTCCGTAGCTACTTTATGCTTTTTCTTTGATTCTCTTTGCTGTCCAACAACATATTCTGGCATCACAACCTTGGAACCTTTTAGCCTAGGTTTATCCACCTCCACATCTTTTAGTTCATCATCTTCTTTAGCTTTCATTTGTTTTCTTATTTTACTAGACCTCTTAAACTCGATTTTTAACTTGCCTTCCTCGAAATTTCCCTCTTTTTCTGCACGCGCTTCCAGCTGCTCGTCCATTTGCTTTAAGAACTGAAAAGCTGCGGCAGTGTTGGTGTGATCTGAGATATCCACATCTGCCAGGGAGTACTTGGTCCACTTTTGTGGATTAACCTTTACAAACGATAATCGTCAAATTAATCTACGAATCTTTGCTTTTTAACAGCAAACATACCTTATAATCTGGCGTCCTGCGAGGCTTTAAACATTTTGATAGTGGCATTTCGGGTTTCTTGAATATACTCTCTTTGCCGCGCATTCGAGATAAGCTTTTATCAGGAGATGGAGCTCCTCTTTTTCTGTTTGGACAATTGCCGCGGCGGTAAACTAAATCGATTGCGGGGCTGGCCGAATGGCTTTGGTCTAGCGCTGTTCCGGTTAGCTCTTTGCTTGCATTGTCGAGACAAGCGAACAAGGCGTTCCGCTTCGCCTCAAAATCCTGCATTATGTATTTTTTTTGTAATCAACCTCTGTTTTTTATAATAAACTTCTGTTTTTTATTAAATAAAACTTTTTTATTTTTTGACTCGCACTAAAATGACAGATCAAAACAAAACAACTCAAAGCCAAACAGCTGTTGTCTTGCCACATCGATTAATTAATTGGTATTAGATAAATATTAAATGGAGGCATTTGGGAAGTAATAGTGAAGACCCCTTGTTGTTTTTAACCGACTTCCAAAAAAGGAGGAGGTTATCAGTTCGTCGGAATATTTTTTTTTTGTTTTTTTTTTAGGTATGTTACCGCCTAACTTTGTACCACGTCAACCGATTTCAATAACGGAAAGGTAGTGTCTCAGAGGTGGTCCCATACTAATCTGGTTGAGATCCGATCAGTGGATCATGAGATATATATATATATTTTTTTTTATATAGGAGTAGAAGTCGGTTTTTTTTTGCTAAAAATTACTTGTTTATAATCCGTTACTTTTATCACCGGAATCACTTCCCGCTTGGGCACATCGGATATATATAAGGTTCAAACCAAGGCGTTAAAAAACCAGAGGGTGATCCTCGACTCAGTGAATATATTGTGCTAGATTAGGTCGAAATTTGATACCTTGTTACTGAATCATGATTTGTGGAAAAGCCCATTGTGCAACGACACACAGTACTCTTTTTGAACACTTCATGCGAATTAATCTTAGCGCTTCGTTAGAGGCAACATTTTGATATCAAACAAAATGGTTTTGTAAGCTAATGTAATCCCTTTCACGGAAAAATATTGCCATTGAACCCCAGTTACCCCTTGACCTTAAAAAAAAATTGGTCAAAAATAGTGTTCCGAAAAAACAAATGCAAAATCCACCGCATTTGTTCAAAAAAAAGTTTTTTCAATGTTTTATTATATTATCATTACAATGTTAACAATGCAAAAGGCCCTAAGAAAAATAAAATAGGCGTTAGTTTAAAAACGCATTCGGTTTTGTTTTTTGTTTCTCAAATATACCGTAAAGCCAATTTAGGGATGGTAGTAAGTCTACACCAGTGCACGGACTTTACCACTTTATTGGTAGATCTACCAACTTTTTAGCTATATTATATTATCTATAATTTTTACCCACAAGGGCTAAAAATCTATCAATATTTTCCAGAAAGAAAGCAGAGAGATTTAAATTAACAGTTAACTCTGAAGGAGAATAATTGTTTGAGCCTCCCTCCTATTGAATTAATACAGTGCCCGAATCAGGGCATCTGTGAAATTTTTTTTGAGTATTCGGTAGTGGGTTCGTTTTTTTAATTCAAATTGTTGGCGCGATTCCGTATTCCTCGGACTAAAACTAGTAAAACTGTCAAAAATAAAAATTCGCTCAGAGCGAGAGAGTAACATTGGAAAGTACGGGATCGCTTTCTAGTAAAAAATGGTAGCTTCTGTCAACTTCAACATAACCTCCAAAATTGGTTGTAAATTTTTGCTTATTGTATGCGTAAACACACTCAGCTCACACATATAAATAACCAAAAATCCCGTAGTCCGGACTCGTACGGGATCGCAACATTTATTGAATAAAAACAGCCGCTATTTTATTTCACTCCATTCGAATCGAGATTAATTCGATCACGGATGCCGTGAGTCCGGCCCAGTCCTTTTTGAACGTTTTTGCGATACGTAAATTAACGAAAATTGTAGTCGTTTTCTGTTCATTTCGGGATACGTAAAATTGTACGAGACCGCAATGTCGACAAAATTGACTTATCTTTGCTGGTTGGGAAGTCATGGTTTTTTCATTGCCGTTCAAATTGACGTGGCAATTATGCCTGGCTGCAATGAACAATACACTGAGGAAAAAAACGCATTGTAAAAATGAAAATTTTTTATTTGATTACCGTTTAAAAAGGTTCGTATTTAAATCAAGTGAAAAGTGTTGTAGCTGAGTGTGCAAAGACGCTTGATACAATTGGTTGCTGCCAAGAGGGTCCTGGATCAATTACCATCAGACGGAACAAAAATTTAATTATCATTTTTTCTTCTTATTTACGAAAAGGCATCTGTGCACTTCACAACGACATATTTTATAGCGTACATACTCAAATTTAAAACAAGTTGGGTTGGTGCTCATTTATGTGCTTATATTTTTAAATTTAGCAGGTTTTTTTTAATTCTAAAATTTTTTTCCCTCAGTGTATGTATTTCCAAGTGAAAATTTATTTAACACAGTTGTTTTCAATGGTAAAAATAAAAAAATTAAGTAAATTTATTTTCTTTAAGGAGCTAAGGAGCAAATTAATTTTTTTAGCTCTCTGCTCCAGCTCCGTTTCAGCCAAAATCCTTTGCTCCTTGCTCCATGCTCCGCTCCGAAGCCCTGGTTATTATTGAAAACAACGATTTTAAAAATTCCTGTTGCTTTTGCATACTAGACTTACAGCTGGAAAATACATAAAAACAGAGTAAAATATTTTTCATTCCCCATAATACACTCAATAAAAAACTGCAAATTTATATTTTTATTTAAACGCTTGCGTATATTTACTCGTATCGTACTATGTCTGTATCAATAATTTAGTCATGCTGTTTTATGCTCTCTTTGATGTGGTATGTACTTAACTATATTCAATTTTCAGCGACATATTCATTCGATTGCATTATGTAGAAAATGTTTGCTTAGTTTGTATTAGAATATACACACAAAAATTTAAGTTTTGCAAATTAGATCTAAATTACACAGTATGTATTTAGTTATGTATGTATGAGAGTTTACTTAATGCCTTGCAAAAAAGGGCTTCATAAAAACGGGACCATGCAAGAGTACATATACAAACGATGGAATAAATGTTTATAAACAAATTTACTACAATTCCTAGCCATTCCATCTTTTCGAATACATGCCAAATCTACGATTAAATATTGGGGTGGCTGTAAAATGCCGCACTCGTTGATGTTTCAAAAAAAAAAATGTTTTTTTTTCTGTTTGTTGAAACTTTAAAATTTTTTAAAATTAACAATCGATTCGCAAGCTTAAATTGCCTATCCACTCTGTCATAAATACATATTCGCTCTTAGTAAAATTATTTAAAAAGTGAATTGCGTAAATTTCGCTATAACATTTAATATATTTTGCATGTATGTATGTATTTATGTGTGCGTGTGTATGTGTGTAAATATGATTAAGCGTGTGCAGCTTATCTTCCACATTTCCCTTTTTTGCTCGCTATAACTTAAAACATTCGATTAATTTAATTTATCTAATTTATTAATTTAAAAATTTGTATGTTAGGTGAATATTTTTAGCTATATTTTGTGTGTATGGATGTATGTATGTATATGTATGCATTTATGTAGACAATGCTTGCATATATTGTACTTAGATTCCTTTTCAATTATGCTAATTAATATTCTATTTATGAAACAAATTTTCTATAAACAAATATTTGCGATTATACGTACATATGTATGTATGTATGTATGTATTGACTAGCAACAAATTTACTTAACAAATTATAAAATTGCATACATAAAATAGGGTGACATAAAAAATATGTATATTTATATATATATAATTAAATATGTATGCATGTATGTAGGTATGTAAACAATTTCAGACGGTACAGCGACATTTCCAAATACGATGTGATAGCTCTACTGACTGACACAATAACATACATACATATTTTACATAAGATTTTGTTCTATTTAATTACTCGTGTAGGTGGAGTACATATGCACATACCGTACTGTACTTTTTGTAACTCACTAGAAAATTCACGTGGTATCGGTATGTCGGTATAAAAACTTAAATTACTCGTTCTTATGGGTTTTGAATAGTCTCCATTGCTTTCACATAACTGTTCCTTTTCTTCTTCTAATTCTACAACTCCGTCATTTTCTGCATCGCACCCATTCCAAGTCTCAAAACTTGGTATCATTATAACCGTTAAAGTCTGATTATGGCAACTTAACTTAACTTAACGTAACTTAGAACTTAGAAAATCGAAATGAGACAGAAGCTACGTCAAGTTTCGACTGTCCAAATATAAGCAACAGCCAGTTAAGAGAATTTTTAAATGACAGCCTTTAAGTTACGTTAAGTTGCCATAGTCACGCCTTCAAGCTTCGCCTTACCGTTAAGTTCCAGCTGCTTACTGTACACATACAAATGTAAGTACATACAACCCTGTGTAGTTGACGCACCTCGGACTGCTGAAGTTTGTTCGGAAAAATGCTGAATGCCTGTGCACTCAAATATGTATTTACGTACTTATGCATGCGTGCATATGTGGGTGTAAACCGCTTGTTGTAATGTTAACCTTCTACATAAATTCCTACTTTACTTCTACTTCGTTATTCGCTTAATCGAAAATGCACGCGAATACAGCCAAGCAATTCATGCCGAAATTACTCCAGCAGCCTTCCTCGCCAGATGCTCCCTTTTCGGCACGTCGCATTTTCTTTGGATAATTCTTTGGATTGGTACGATCACTTAGATGAATTGGCATTTTGGGGAACTCGGGTCGTGGCGTTCGAAATTTTTCCAATAATTGACTTTGCTCTGGCGTAAGATTCTTCAATTTTTTACCTGAAAGTAAAATAATAATAAATAAATTTTATGTATCTATGCGCATATAAATACATACATATGTATGTATGCATATTTTTTTTCAAATAATCCAAAAATGATTAGGCCACTTAATGGTTTTTACTGAGGTAATAGAAAGAAACGGCCACTCGCGATACTTTCGGCCTACTTCCCGGATATCGCCCTGGGGTCGGGGGATACGGTTTTCCGTGTAGTCAAGCCATCCCCATCGGACTGAAAACTTGCCAAAGGTCTAAGTACCTGGCTATTAGTACGGTGAGCGCCGGACTCTCTCGAAAGGTACAATACCCCCTTGGTTGGTGCCAGCAGCTCAGTGTCAAAATCATAAGGGACGATCTAACATTGACCCAGATTCCCGAGGTGTGGCAAAGAACCGAGGGTAAGTCTTACGAAGGACATGCTGAAAGCAATGGCGAAAATATCGATCATAAAATCAGGTCTAACAACTGGTTTCACCAGCAATTTAAATGGAAAATTAATTTTTTTTCTGTTAATTTCCATATAAAATTCAAAAAATTAAAATCATTTTTCAATTAAATTGCTTTCGTTAAATTGGCTGTAACACTCTGAAAGAGGCACCTTTGTATCCCGATCAGCACGCGTACACACCTGTGGGTATTGGAGTCAGGCGACACTTATGGCTCTCTCATCCTTCGAAGTTAAATCCTCATTGATCCTGGAGTGCGAAGAGAAACTCAATGCCTTTTCTGAGAAAAATGTTATCCAGCTGTTATGGGTACCATGGCATATGGGAGTCGAAGGAAATGATAGGGTACCTCTACTTGGTCATAAAGTAGTCTGTAACTATGGACTTGCTTCGTTAGCGCGATATTGCATAGAGTTATTTCTTCTTCATTTTGGTCTCTCGGGATGGATGACCTTTTAACAACACTGCAAGCATGTGAAAACGATGTCCTTGACTAGGCGGACGACCTGGTAACTATTGTTATGGGAAAGTTCGGCAATACCGTCGAAGACGTCATTAGTTAAGGTCTGCGTATTCTAACATGCTGGTGTGCCAGCGAAGGCCTCAGCATAAACCTGAGAAAAGCTTTTGTTGCACCGTTGACATGAAAATACAATATAAGTAGAACCTTGATTCTGTAGCCCTGGGATACTTTTTGTTACAACGACCCAGATTAAACCTTGAAAGGCGCGTTTAACTTTATCTTTTCAAAAAGACAATCAGCCATCAGATCCCTTTCCATTCCAATATCACCGCCAGGATCGTCAAGGAATCTGTTGACACTATTCAACGCTTGACAGCGAGAAATACGGTGACACTGGGCTGAGTACCAGGTCACTGCGTGATCGAAGGAGACGAGGTCACCGAGGAACTGGGAAGGTTACGCTAATATTCTGCCATTACAGACCCGGAAACAATTTACGGGCTCAGTTGGTTTTCTTCAATACTTGCGATTACCGAATAGTTAAGCTCAGACCGCAGTAAGAACTGGGGAGCAGTAGAAGGCCTTATTTTGAATAGAGCCAAACTTAAGTTGCTCCCAAAATACATAAGAACAAAATATACCAGATTGGCTTGAGCACGGAAATTGAATGCGAAAAGATATCGGAGCTATTCTGTGTGGTTATTTAGCGTTGACCATATTTTTGTTTGTAAACCGAATCACATGAATTTATCCACAGCCGCACTAGAGAAAGAGGGAAGCAAAACTGCTTTCAGCAGTGGAACTATCCGTGGACCCGTTCCACTAGTGAACGTTGGACATATAAACTCATTTCCATTATTAATAAACGGCTTGAAAGGCGACATGGAAGAGTGGACTTCCACCTAACCCAATCGCGTCGAGTGGAACAGTCCCGCATATATGCATAGAAAGGAGTAGGAGCGGATTGCAACCTCGGTGAGGTTTTGAACCCCGTTGATTCGAATCGTAAATGCAGATGGGAACCTCGGCCGTTACAACCATCAAATCAGTGGGATTTTGAACCTCGGGCAGTTAAACCGTGTCCCAGCAATGGGTTGTGCGCTGGGCTTGGGACCCGCCACGTAAAAACCACTTCCAGTGAAGAAGCAAGGCAAAGCCTCGGATGAGACGCCCCCTTATGATGACGACCACGGCAAATGTTTAAAGGACTACGATTTGAGGGCATGCACCTGGAATGTCCGGACCCTTAATGGGGAAGGTGCCTCTGCCCGGCTGGTTGATGTCCTCGTAAGGACAAAAGCTGACATCACCGCCATCCAAGAAATGCGTTGGACGGGGCAAGGCAAACAATGTCTGGGGCCTTGCGACGTCTACTACAGCTGCCATGTAAAGGAGCGCAAATTCGGAGTTGGATTTGTGGTGGGAGAGAGACTCCGTCGCCGAGTACTGTCGTTCACCCCGGTGGACGAGCGTCTAGCCACAATCCGCATCAAAGCGAGATTCTTCAACATCTCGCTCATCTGCGCCCATGCCCCGACGGAAGAGAAGGATGAGGCATCCAAGGATCTCTTCTATGAGCGCTTGGAGCGCACGTACGAGCGCTGCCCCCGTCATGATATCAAAATCGTGCTTGGCGACTTCAATGCCAGGGTGGGCAAAGAAGGGATCTTTGGAACCACCGTCGGAAAATTCAGCCTCCACGACGAAACGTCCGACAACGGATTGAGGCTGATCGACTTCGCCGGGGCCCGAAACATGGTAGTATGCAGTACTAGGTTCAAGCATAAAAAGATCCATCAAGCTACCTGGCTGTCTCCGGATCGAAAAACGAGAAACCAAATCGATCATGTTGTGATAGACGGAAGGCACGCTTCCAGTGTTTTAGACGTACGCACACTCCGAGGCCCAAACATCGACTCGGACCACTATCTTGTTGCAGCCAAGATACGCACCCGCCTCTGTGCAGCAAAAAATGTGCGCCCAAATATGCAAGGAAAGCTTAACGTCGAAAAGCTGCAATCACAACAGACAGCCAGCGCTTTCGCTACTCGACTCTCACACCTGCTCTCAGAGAGCACTCTTCAACAAACCGACATATGCGAGCAGTGGAACCACATTTCCCGCTCATTAAGTACCGCCGCCGAAGAAGTAGTCGGATTTCAGCGAGCCCGAAAGAACAACTGGTACGATGAGGAGTGTCAGGAAGCTGCAGAGAAAAAAGATGCCGCCTACAGGGCCACGCTGCGATCGGGCGCAACGCGCGCTATGTGGGACCGCTATAGGGATCTGAAGAGGGAAGCGAGACGTATTTGCCGCAACAAGAAGAGAGAGGCAGAAATACGTGAGTGCGAAGAGCTTGAAATGCTGGCCGACAGGAGGAATGCCCGAAAATTTTACCAGAGAGTTAGGCGACTTACGGAAGGTTTAAAGACCGGGGCGCACTCCTGTAAGAACAATAATGGCGACCTAGTAACTGATGTCCAGAGCGTACTTAAATTATGGAGGGAACACTTTTCCGCCCTACTAAATGGTAGCAGCACGGAAAGTTGTGGAGAAGAAGAACCCGAGCCCGCAGTCGATGATGACGGAGTCGACGTTCCACCGCCTGACTATGACGAGGTACGTATAGCAATAACGCGGCTGAAAAACAACAAAGCCGCTGGAGCTGACAGCCTGCCAGCTGAGCTATTCAAGTACGGCGGCGAGGAGTTGATAAGGTGCATGCATCAACTCTTGTGCAGAATATGGTCAGATGAACGCATGCCCGACGACTGGAATTTAAGTGTGCTCTGCCCAATCCACAAGAAAGGTGACCCCGCCATTCGCGCCAACTACCGCGGGATCAGCCTTCTAAGCATAGGTTACAAGGTCTTATCGAGCGTATTGTGTGAAAGACTGAAGCCCACCGTCAATGAACTGATTGGGCCTTATCAGTGTGGCTTTAGACCTGGCAAATCCACCATAGACCAGGTATTCACAATACGCCAAATCTTGGAAAAGACCCGCGAGAAAAGGATCGACACTCACCACCTATTTGTCGACTTTAAAGCCGCTTTTGACAGCACTAAAAGGAGTTGCCTATACGCCGCTATGTCTGAATTTGGCATCCCCTCAAAACTCATACGGCTGTGTAAAATGACGTTGAGCAATACCACCAGCTCCGTCAGAATTGGAAAAGACCTCTCCGAGCCGTTCGCCACAAAACGGGGTTTCAGACAGGGCGACTCCCTTTCATGTGACTTCTTTAATCTGATGTTGGAGAAGATAATAAGAGCTGCAGAACTGAACCTCTCAGGAACAATTTACTACAAGAGCGTGCAATTGCTGGCTTATGCCGATGACATCGACATCATCGGTAACAAAAACCGCGAAGTCTGTTCTGCCTTTTCCAAGTTGGATAGGGAAGCAAAGCGCATGGGTCTGGTGGTAAACGAGGACAAGACGAAGTATCTCCTGTCATCAAACAAACAGTCAGCACATTCGCGCCTTGGCACCCACGTCACTGTTGACAGTTACAATTTCGAGAAAGTAGAGAATTTCGTTTACTTGGGAACCAGCATTAACACCGATAATAATGTCAGCATTGAAATCCAACGTAGAATCACTCTTGCCAACAAGTGCTACTTTGGACTGAGTAGGCAATTCAGGAGTAAAGTCCTCTCTCGACGTACGAAAACCACGCTCTATAAGTCACTCATCATGCCCGTGCTGGTATATGGCGCAGAAGCATGGACAATGACAACATCCGATGAGGCGGCTCTTGGAGTGTTTGAGAGAAAGATTTTGCGGAAGATTTACGGGCCTTTACGCGTTGGCGACGGCGAGTACCGCAGACGATGGAACGATGAGCTGTATGAGCTTTACAACGATATAGACATAGTGCAGCGAATTAAAATACAGCGGCTCCGCTGGCTTGGTCATGTCGTTCGAATGGACACCGACGCTCCAGCTCTGAAAGTATTCAACTCGGAACCCGCTGGTGGTAGCAGAGGAAGAGGGAGGCCCCCACTGCGATGGAAAGATCAGGTGGAGAAGGACTTGGCTTCACTTGGCGTTTCCAATTGGCGTCAGTTGGCACAGAGGAGAAACGACTGGCGTGCTTTGCTGAACTCGGCCAAAATCGCTTAGGCGGTTACAGCGCCAAAAAAGAAGAAGAAGAAGTTAAACCGTAGAAGCGGATTCGAACCTTGACTATTGAAACCGCGGACAGTGGGGCTTGAAAGTCTGTAACCAAAGACGTTAACACTGTTTGTTTATCTGTCCGCAGTTTTGCAATCGAATGGATGACTAGAGCATGAAGATGGGGTGGCCATTTGCGGTTAATAACCTATGCTTGAGTCGGAAGTAAACTGGTCCGTTGTTTGCAATTTGGCAAACACAATTTGAACTGAAATGGGCCGCTGCTCCTCGGCGAAATAAACCCTTACGGTGGTTCCACGGTGGGAGGGAAACGGAGCAGGGGTGAGTTTTTAGTGCGGTGTGCCGAAAGGCAAGTCCCACACTTTTCGGCTTTCACTGCTTTGTGTCTTTTACAGCATAGACTGTCTCTATATTATCTGAGTGGCTATCAGAAAAGTGGCATATACGACCTTAGGATCATTTATAAATCGGCCTTTTCTAGAGTTTCAATCACATTGCAGGGAGATATGTGGTTGATGAACTGGCAAGCCAAGGCTCTAGATGCTCTATATTATTTCTCAGAAGAGGAAGGGTACAATAAATGTGCTGCGTAACCTATTATAATCTGAATTTTCTAGTTAATGGTCGCGAGCTTTGACAATAAGCTATCGAAGTACAGAATAAAATTGGTATTCTCAAAATATCTAGCGACAAATCCATTTAGTACCTATGGTCAGTCAAGGCGAAAATTTCTCTAATTGAAAAAGCCGAGAAAATATTTCCAAAGTAAGCACAAATGCTTAATTTCCAATTTTACCACTTCTTTGTACCACGATTTTCCATTTCGCTCACCTTCAATTGCATCGCTCACAAGTGATATTTCCACTGGATCCAATAGCTCCACGCGATCGCAAGCTCTGCGAAATTCACTGGCACTCATCAGCAAGTAACGTGGCGCATAGCACAGCGGCCCCAGCACACGACGCCTATTTTCTGCCGTCCCGTCGAGCTTCTTACGCTGACATTCCGCCACACTCCAGTCGGCTAGACAATTGAAAAGCACTAACTCTGAGCTGAGTTGCAAAGCCTCACGCTTCGCAATCATTTCCAGCTCTTCAAAGCGTAATTCGTTGATTTGCTGCTTGGTCAGCACCAGTTGAGCGTGCATATCAATCAATTGCAGCGCATTATTGAGCAAAGCCATGCCAAACTCCTCGGCAGTAAATGGACTTGGATGCGTACTCGATTCTATGTTCGCATTCGCATTGTAGCCGGCACCAGCGCCAGCACCAGCGCCAGCACCAGTGGTGTTGGTATTCGCTGGCGGGTTTGTGTTCTTACGTTTCGTTTTCTTATTAGCGCCAATCTCCTGTGTGGTAATAACTGCACACAATTGGTGTTGATTTGGCACCGAAATGCTTTGGTAGAACCACAGCGAACGTAAGATATCGATCACAACAGCGCTTGTTAATTGTAGGTCCAATTCACGTATGCAATGGATGACCTGTACGGAGTAAAAATTAAATATTTTAAACTTAGCGCATCAACTTTTTTGTTGGCGTCAACTCACCAAATCGGGACAATTGAAGCGATCGGCCAATTCGAGTATCTTCAGTATGTGCAAATGATCGCGATGGCGCACAAACTTAGTCTCTAAAAATCGTATAACCAATTCAAAGTCATTCTTGTCCACATTGGAAATCTGGAAGTGATTATCGCCCTTGCGGCCACTATTCGGACCTGCTCGTATTAGTTTCGCTAACTCGACACTATTCTCCAGCACGGCTTTCCGCTCGCAGCGTATCATGCAACGATCATCGCCATTTACGACTATGAAATCGATGTAGGGGCTTGGTATGACAGGCACAACAGTGGATACATTTGTGTGGCCGTGCATAAGAAAAGCGGGCGGTGCAGTGGGGGTTATCATGTTTTGATTGCCAGCTACGTTTTGACCATCAGAGGCCAAGCCAAATGGCAATACCATTGCACTAAACTGCCGCTAGGTGGTGGGCGAGAAGTCCTTCTGCGCTGGAAAGCTGGCTGGAAAGTGAGGCCAGTGCGTCGCTGGTTGTCTCCTTTTTGCTTAAGTTTTTGTATGTATTTGAGGTGATGGTTTTTAAGTGAAAGTAAACTTGAATGCAGAAAATCGTTATGCGAATTCTTACTTGGAGTTTAAGGCAGTGATCGTTCATATAATTCAAATTGATGATCTGCAAATAAATAAAATATTTATTATTAATTGTGCATCTTCTATGGGCGCAAATATGATAACTAAGTTATATAATAAACAAGTAAGAGCAGCGCTGTCTTCGGCTATGCCGAATGCTTCATACCTTTCATGAACATCTGAAAACTTTACTTTATCAGATTACTGCATTTGAAAAAATTTATATGTATACATACACATATAAAAAATCATATCTCAACAATCAGAGGTATGGAAGATATGCATACCTTATATAGCACTAATCTAAGTGATTTTGACTGCTGTTTGATCGGTGTGTATACCGGTAACACAATTTAATGGGTTTAGCTTCCTACATAAAGGAGATATATCGCAAAAACTGGTATAGGAACAATCAGTGGTATACTAGATAAGGCTTATACAGCATAGATTTTGACAATTTTCTCAGTAGACTTTGTATTATTATTTATACAATAGCTTACGAAATTTATCGGTTTTAGCTGTCCAAATAAATTAGTTTTACATTAAAACCCCGTATGTGAACAATCAGTTATATGGAGGCAATATATAAGTTACAGTGATTCGATCTTTGTTAATTTTACTGTAAATATTTTCTGTTAATAATTAGTGAAAACGGTGAGAATTTTCATGTTCCTAACAGTTCAAAATTCCATG